TCAACGAAGCACTTCCAAGACGGCGCGTGGAGCCCAGAACGACGGAGACTAGCGACAAAACCAAATCTTGAGGCCTTGAGCGGCGAATTTGGGGTGGTTGTTTCCCGATGGACTGCTTGTGGGGGAGGAGGCAGGGGCAGTAGGTATACAAGAAGGAAAAGTGGTAGAAGAGGCCGCAGCAGCGGGAGCGGACGAGGAAGAGAACGCGGGGGATGAAGCCGAGCAGGGAGTGGTAGCAGCAGCAGCATAGGAAGCAGACGCGAGAGGCGCGAAAGGCTCATAGGTCCCCGCGCTCACAGACGGACGTTTCTTCACGATCTTGCCCGTCCCACTTGGGCGGCGCTTCGGTAGCACATTCCCGAGCGACGTAGGCGAGCTTGTCCCGAGTGACGTAGGCGAGCTTGTCTCGAGTGACGTAGGCGAGGTCGTTGTGGGGAGGAATGGCGAGGACGCGGGGGAGACCTCGACCTCGCCCTCGCCCAGCGGCGACGACAGTGAAAGAGGCGAGAGAGGGTAGCACGGCGAAATCCCGCCAAACGACAGCGGCGACACGGGCGGGGATGTCCACGCCGTCTCGCCCGACGCGGTGGAGGAGGAGGAGGAGCGCGACGAGGCGGAGGTCGGGGACACGCCTAACAAGGGGGAGCTCGCGGAGCGATCCGACACGGGCGCGAGCGGCGGGAGCTTCGTCGTCCTGGCCTTCTCGCGTTCGCGCTCGAGCATGAACGCGGCGAGGGCGGGCGGGACCATGTCCGCGGGGACGGCCGCGGGCGCCGGGGACGAGATGGTGTGTTTGCGCACGCGGGGCGGGGACGCGGAGGCGTGGGGGAGGAGCAGCTGTAGACGTGCGAGGGCGCGGCGGGCGGGCGGGGCAGTCGTGGCGGGCGAGGAGGACGAGGGCGCGCAAGTAGTGGTGGCAGTAGAAGCAGACGCAGAGGAGGGTGTGGGCGAGGGCGACGCGCGAGGAAGTGACGAGACGGCGCGGCGGCGCGTGTAGTGCGGGTGCGGGTGTCCATGCGTGGTGGATGCAGGCGGCGAGGAAGACGGCGTGGACGAGAGAGGCAGAGGATCGGGATACAGCGTGAACGACGCGCGCTTTTGCTTCTGCGCGAGCCGCACACTGTCCATTTCCTGCTCCTGCTCGCTGGCGGCGACAAGGAGAGCAGCGTCGTCGTCGACGTCGAGCTTGGGCGCGGGCTTGCGGCGGACGCGAGCGGTTGTGGTGGACGCCATGACCAAGCAGCACAAGGGCCAAAGCGAGGAATCGAGGCTTTTAAGCAGCCGCGTTTATTTGAGTTTTTGGCTGCCAGCACGCTTCCTTGTCGAGGCTAACTCGCTTTCCACACGTGTATCACCCAAACGCTATTTAAGCATCCACGCTCTAGCCTTTTATTGCAGTACTCTCTTGCATTTATCGCGTTCATGCTGAAGCCAGAAGCAAGGGTAGCCATCGACCAATATGTCGAGAAAGAGAGAGATTGGTCGGTGACTTGACTCGTTGCCGGATTCTTTCTTCTCTGCAACCACCACCATGGCTCAAGAACGGCGTCGTCGGCCAACCCCTAGCGGCATCTTCCATTTGCGCTGCTCGCTGCTCGCTGCTCTTTCTCTTCCCCCCTCCGCCCGTTTTGGCCGAGGACCAACCCGAAAAAAATTGGCGCCGCTGCAGATTGGTCCCGTTATGTTGACCTGCCTTCAGTCACTTACAGGGCATTTATCACTTGCGGCTTGAATCCAATCAGAGACCACCTATCTATCTTGAAAATGACGTTGACTGAAGCCAGACTGAGGTCGGACAATCTACCGTTGGCCCGTTGCCTCATTTCTCCGCGGCTCTCATCCTCCTCGCTCCCGCTCCTCAACTGTTGACGCGTCAACCGAAACGCCTCGATCAAGCAAGCCCTTAAATATTCCCTCAGCGGCAGTCTATCGCCCTTATCTGTTTGCACTCCACTCAAGTCTACGTTTCATTTTCGACCCCATCCGGCGTGAGGAATCCTACATCCGACTCCCCTAGTCCGCCGGCCTACCCTTTCCCCGGCGATCCGTACACCCTCGCCATCACCAGACCAACCAGTACTCGCTTCACTTGCTCTGGTCTTCGACATCCCCCACACCAATTCCCACCGCTCAGGATCTTGTTTCAAAATATCTGTGCCGGTTGCGAGCATGCGTATTGCCATTTCCATACACCAGCACTTAGACCGCGGGTACGACAGACACCTCGCTCTCTCTTGTATTTCCTCCTTCGTTCCAATTTAAAGGCCCTCCCCGATCTGCATCTTCATCTTCACTGTGTATCCCTATCCTCTCGAATACCCTAACGATACTCGGATCCCAGTGGACCCGAGTGATACACATCGTGCGATCTAACGCACGCATGTGCATGACTGAGCACAAAAGAAACGAACGAGCGAGGAGGAAAAGAGAAAAAACACGATTTGCCCTCGCGCAAGATTATTATCACCCGACCCCGGATCGAACGGGGACCCCCTGCTTACTGAATATTCCTCGAGACGTATTCGAAAGAAGCAGGCGCGCACCACGCGCCACAGAGTGTTTTCTTTCCTTCACCCTCCCTTCACCCTCCCTTCACCCCACTTGCCGTAGGAGAGAAACTCGAAGGCTCGTTGGCTTTGTTCAATTATTGCAATGGTTGAACACGATTATCCAGTCGCTCACACGTTTCAATCAACTTGCTCCTCTCCGTCAACATGCTTATCCTTCTTCAACTAAGCAAGCAGTTGCGGACACTGACACCGTATGCGCCCCGGCGATATTCGTTCTCGAATGAACATACCTCTCCCGATCCCGACCACCCCTAATTGAGAACCACGCATGCCTTTGCGTGCCATCCAACGTACTGCGAGAATCATATCAAGAGGCAAGAGGCCTAGGCTTCACACAAAAAGGCCGGCTTCAAATCATCACCCGACCCCGAATCGAACGGGGACCTCCTGCACCTAAGCTTTGTGGGAAATAAGAAAGAGCACGCAGGTGCGCACCACGCGCCATCGGGTGTTCTCCTCCCTTCAACCTAAGGTCTACATGTACCCTACTACTTTTCATTGTACCTGATTGAAAATTCCACAGCAAGGCTTATTCGACTTGGACCAAGGGTGGTTGAACATCCCTCAATTCTTTTGGAGCTCGAGTGAAGCTATAATTCAAAGTAGATCTTCCAGCCCCTCCTGGAAAGTGAACGAATAACAACTTAACAAGAACCCAGCAAAAAAAAGTACCTTCTCTTTCATCACCAGCCCCGAATCGAACAGGGACCTCCTGCTCACTCTCGACGCTTGCACAATTTGCAAGCCAAGCAGGTGTGCGCCGTGCGCCGTCGGGCGTCTCCTCCTCTTGCGGTATGTACACTGTACACCATTTTTCTTGCGCACACCCAGTCAACCGAATCGATCCAGACCCAGCTCAAAACAAACAAATGGAACGCGGAAAAAAACCACGTAATATTCATATATCGCCCGACCCCGGATCGAACAGGGACCTCCTGCTTACTCTCAACGATTTCACAAGTTACAAGAAGCAGGTGCACGCCACGCGCCGTCAGGTGTCTTCCCCCTCTAAACCTGAGGTCTATATGCATCCGACTTCTTGCCGTACGAAAAAAAACTCAAAGCAGTCAGCTTCATTGGCTTGGACCGGGGATCATTGAATGAACGTCCGTGGTTCTTGAATGGAGCTGGGGTTGATATCTACTCATCAAGAGTCTTTTCAAAACAGACGAATGGAACCAAGAAACAAAAAGTATCCCGGCAATGCACCACCCAACCCTGAATCGAACGAGGACTTCCCACCTGAAGCATTTCAGCGCCCAGACAATCATAGACAATAGGTGCGCACCACGCGCCTTCGGGTGTCTCTTCCTTTCAATGTGAGGTGTATACGACACCTTTCTTTCCCTACAAAAAAAAACTCAACATCTTCACTTGGGGTGGTTGAACCTCCGTCCGTTCTTGTAAGTTGAGCTGAGTTGCTCGAGACAGATATAAATGTACCTATCTGAATCCGCTCGAATCAATTCAGAGTCTGTCTAAAGTAGACGAATCGAACCAAAGAAGAAGAGAGAAAAAATGACAACCGGTTGGACAACTACCCGACCCCGAATCGAACGAGGTTCTCCTGCTTATAATTTCTTCATTCCACTTGCGATAGAAGAAGCAGGTGCGCACCACGCGCCATCGGGTGTTTCTTCCCTTTCAACCCAAGGTTTATTTTTTGAACCGCAAGTTCGAAATGGAATCATTGAACACCTCTCGATTCTATCGGAGCCCGGTGTACAATAGGATCTGTCTAATTCTGATCAAAGTAGATCCTTCAGCCCGGCCTCCAGGAAAGTGAACGAACCAAGGGAGAAAAAAATCGAGTCCACCTGAGCCAATTATCACCCAACCCCGAATCGAACAAGGTCCTCCTGCTTACTCAAGGTATCTGATGAATGGCTCAAGGGAAGCAGGTGCGCGCCACGCGCCATCGAGTGTTTTTTCCCTCGAACCTGAGGCGTACTTTGTGCCTTGGGGGGAAAATCGATATAAGGCTGGTAGAACCTCAGCCTCCTTCCGTTCCTGTCCTTGAACTGGAGCTGCTCGGGACAGATAAACCCGTATGTATTCGAATCAATCCAGAGTCTGTTCAAAAGTAGACGAATCGAACCAAAGAAGAGAAGAAAAAAAACCCCCCGACTAGATGTACCACCACCCAACCCGAAATCGAACCAGGACCCCCTGCATAGTCGTTTTCTGCAATGCTCTAGTACAGAGCAACAGGTGTGTGCCACGCGCCATCGGATGTTTCTTCCCATTGAATACGTCGTATATGTCGTGGTACCGGTTCAAAAAACTTGAACGCAGGTTTATTGACAGAACAAGGAACGATCGCATAGCCCGATGTCCATGTATCTAATCGAGTGAGTTGAGATCCTGTTCGAAGAGATTTACTGAACCCAGTTCCAGGAAGACGAGAAAAAGCATTATGCGCCCAAGCTACCACCCGACCCCGGATCGAACGGGGACCTCCTGCACAACTGAGGGGGGGCAGTCGTCCAAGCCAAGCAGGTGCGCGCCGTGCGCTATCGGGTGTCTCTTCCGTTCTCTGAGGCATAAATATAGGGCAAAAAAAAATTGATGTCCGGCCTTGGGGGCAAGGATTAGGGAACGGTAAATATCCTCAACGCGAAACGGAACCTGCACGATGGTGGGGTGTGGATTGTATTGAATAAACCCCTGCACGGCGCTGGAGCATATATGCATAAGCGAATTGAACCAAAGCTAAAGCAAAAAGTCCTGGACGATTGTATAACAACCCGACCCCGAATCGAACGAGGGCCTCCCGCTCACTCGTTCACTGGAATGATGTAAGGGAAGCAGGTGCGCGCCCATGCCAGTGGCGGGTCCGTGAGCACAGGGTGGCGGTCGAAGTTAACGCGTTGAAGTTTCCTCATCTATTGTTCTATCCGGCTGTCAAATATCTTGTATTATGTAACTATAAACTGCTCTCGGCACACATTTCAATTGAATGACGGAAGCTATGCGTCTGAGAACAAAGCCAAATGTAAGTTACCATGGCCGAACTGGGACAAGGTTCGAGAACAACGACACTGTGGCCACTCTCAATCGGTTCGAACACCATGGACTCCATCTTCAGTCAATCTTCGATTGAAATACCACGCACTAGAAGGTTGGTCAGATCCTGTTAGACGTGCGTGGTGTACATAAATGCTCTGCGCTATCTTGAAAGCGACCGGCATTACCCGAGTCGTTCCCACGGTTCGAACTCTGATTTCACGCCAAATGAACGACGTCGCAAGTTCTCCGTCAAATGATTATAATGATAGTGTTGTTCTATTAAGATCGGCAGTGACCATCACGTCGACTGTTGTTGTTCTTGCTTCTTGTTCTTGTCGTGGCGCGCTCTTGTACACAATAGGCTATGACAACCGCTTTTGTTTCACTTGCCTTTGTTCCTTTCCATACTTGCCTTTGCTCCTGTCCGTATAAATGACCTTCCCAGATTTCTACACCACTTATACAAGATGACCACTCTCACCGACATCCAGGGCGAAATACAGGAGGAACAACCGATCTGCGACAATCCCAAACCGCTCAAACAATCCTCCGTCGGCGCTCTCTACATTGCAGGACACAAGACACAAACGGGAATCATTCAGGGTCGAAATAATCTGCTTTAGTACGACTACCTTCGTAGCACGATGAATGACTGGACTGACCTCTTCTAGTGCGCTTTGGATGGAGGCGCTTTGTATATGCCACGCTGCTAATTATCTTCTGGCTACGCCTATGACAGCCCACAAACTGCCATTTAAAAGCAATAAAATTGCTTCAGAATGGCAGTCCCTTCTTGGCAAGAAGAAAGACTACATACTACGTGGCGCGGTTGGATATCGCGGTTTCAAGGGTTGTCGTTGCTACTACACAAACCCAATACCAGAGGATTCGCGTGAGGTAGGGCCCCCACCAACAATCGAGGATTGCTCTGCTGGTAGTGAGGTCTGGTGGAGGATCAGCCCCAAAGGGGATGACCTGGAGCGCGACCTGGCGAAGCTCGAATCCGACCCGGAGTTTGTTCACACTTTCCAAGCACCGGGTAGTAGTCCTCCAAAACAAGAGAGACCCCCAACAAACTGGAAAGAAGCACTGATGTCGGTGCAACTGAAGTTCGTAACGTGGGCGGACGATCACCATGGGGAGATAGATTTTACGGGTGCGTTTTCTCCTCATACACCGAGTACACTGATCCCCGGCCACTTAGTATATGATATGAGCTTGGAAGAAGTATTGCAATACATGGAGGTTCCAGCAGAGGACTTTTTGGATGGATGTCGTACCGCTAAAAGATATAGCGAGGGACCAGTGGAAATGGTGAAGGATATCGTTCAGGAATGGCTCGCTCCAGTATCACGGCTTCTCAAGGAATAGTCGTCGATTGTTTTTCCTAGTAATGCATCCATGCTAGTCACGCAACCATATTGCATACCAAGGGCAAACATCGTCAGAATGACACGCCTTACAGTATACCACACGTAGTAGATAAATAGTTCCAAAGCATTTCCGAGTGGTGTCATGAATCGCACTCTTGCAACGGAGCGGACCCGGAATGGCGATGGAACCAAGTTCAACGAGCCTCCTGGTGAGCTGTGCGAGCCGGCTGATGCCGCTTGCCGAACGAACTGTCCCACGGTTGAAATGCGTCCTGATAGTTCGAAAAGGCACTGTCACAAATGTTGAGCTTCGCATTTTCTAAGTTGCCGAGTACGGCTCCACCGGCTGCTCGTTTCCAATGAGTATTCTGGTTAACGTCGATGCGAACAGATTCACCACACATTACATTCCCAACGCCCACGGCCGTGTGTGTCAACTGGCGAAATTTCCCAGCAACCGGCACATACGTGGCTCTTCCCTTCATTTTTGCTCTCACCCCGGTAATATAGAAAGTTTTTGGCTGAGAGAATTCACGCAGATCACACGAAGAGGTCAGAGCGGAGGAATCCGGTGACTGTGCAGGTGCCTACACTTAACAGTAGGTATTGCTCCCAGTCAACGGAGGGATACGGCCGTGGAGCCCATCTTTGAGGAAGAGAAGCAGGGCACTAGTGCGCCTCGCGAAGCCAGTCTCGTGAAACACGAGGCTAAGCTTCTCGATGCGAGAACACGACCGTGTGTGTGATGTCGGCGGGAGTAGGACAGAAGCATCGAGCACGGGGGATAGGCTTGAAGAGCCGTACGCGTCCCCTGCCTCGTGAACGACATTGGAGAGACCAGGCGAGAGCTGGCGAGAGCCTTGCTGGATCAAGAGATGGCGTGAGAGGTTGGACCCACATTGTGTGTACATCGGACTGTCCATGAGATGTGAGAAGTTCAGGTTGATGGCGGATTCAATTTCCCCTGGCAGCCGGCATTTTATTCACTCCAATACCTGCGCTCCAAACAGAATACCGGTACAGGAAGAATGAAGCTTTTTTATCTCTCGATAAGTCTGAAAGTCTGAATGGATCTCGGAGGACAATAAAATTTGCTCCGGTGAAACTCCAGCGGATCTCAGAGAGAAGCACTCGAATTATGAACACAACCGAAGCAGGTACAGTAATACATACATAAGAATACACACGCTGGATGCGATATAATTTACAGACGAGACATAGTCATGTTCTCCCGCACATGCTCGAATGTTTTCAAAACGTCCTCCGACACCCTTTCAAACGTTTCCAGAGAGTCGACGAATCGGTCCCAGCGACCCTGCGAAGTAATCGGAGCGACGGCGTATGCGTGTACACCCATATCCGCTATGAGCTTCGGCATGCGGGGTAGAACGGCGTCTATCGCGTCACTCTCCATGTCCATCTGCGCTTCTTGCGTCAAGCCAGCATGTTGAACGTACCACGCCGAGTCTGTCTTGACACAGCTTGCCACATAAAGGTCGAGGAGGCATTGCTCGACCCCGAGATTCACTGCGGCGTCGTATGCAATTCGTTGACCAATGGAGTCCACTAATCGTACGGCCTGAGGGAGAACGAATCGGCTGAACTCGGTAGAGCGGTGACCTGGCATGTGAGATAGACGCTCCTTAAAGTTGGCAAAGAGCCCTGTTTCGTGTCTTGCAAGAAGACTGTCGCTATCCGGAGGAATCATTGAATAGCGACCGAGAAGGATCTCCGTCGCCAACCCTGTAAAATGGATCCTGTCAGCGACACTCCCGGAACCAACAAATACATGAACAGACGAATGGAAAGAACAAGAGAGTCGCCTTCGGCGATCGAGACACCCTGCAAAGCTTTCTGTTCATTTCGTGAGCGAAGGATCGAATGCAGGGAAGTGACGAAACTTACGTGCATGCTGGATAGCTGATTGATTTCGAAGACACCCTGCGCTCCACACCGTTCGGCCAGCTCCAGCAAGGAACGTTGAGCGTGGTTGATCATGACAACCTTGACCAAGCTGCGAGTTAGAAATGTTGTAGCGCTTAGTTATGAGATAGTAAACAACCTTCAAGATCGTGCCGATGCCGTGACATATTTTCATGTCCGTCGTACTTGAAAAAATTGCAGTGGCGACCTGGTGAAAGGCTTTCATGACGTAAGCCTGAGCCACGGCGATTGCAATGGGCGAATGTTGAGTTCGGAAAATCATGATGGGTTGCTTTCGACCGTCTTTGTCGAAGACTTTCCTGCGCAGACTGTACTGTGCAGTAATGCAGGATGCTACCTGGAGAGCAGGAAGGCCCATGGCACCAATTGCGAGAGTTCCGACAGCGACCCGGAAGAGTCTCTGAAAAAAGTCGAGCCGGAAGTCCTCTGGCTTCGCTGGGCTCCCGAGGAGCGCGCGGGCAGGGAGTCTCACCCGGCGAAAATATGTTATGGAGTGGTTTACAGGTTCTGTACCTCCGCGCGCCGGCAGCATCCTGTCATGTCGTGAGTTGACAAGACTTAACACAAAAAGTCAACCCACTTTGACACCACCCCCGCACACATCTGACGGCCGTCATTGAGGTCAACCAAGAATGATTTTATACCGCGATCCTCGCCGTGAATGATAGTCCTGGCGAAAACGACAGCCATGCAGCGTACACCGATAGGACTGGTTGGGGGCATAAATTTTGCCGCTTCATCATTCGGAGTATTGAGTTCAAACGATCCATCGGGAAGCATTGTTGCTGTGGTTTCGATGTTCATGGCGTCGAGACCATGGCCGATTTCTGTTAGGCAAAACTGACCGCTGCGAAATCGAGGGAGGCTGTTGGCAACTTTAGGCACGCGAGAGCCGCGAACTTGCCTGATTTTGAACTGCAGTGCGTCTTGCAGGATTCCGTCAAGTTCTGGGCGCGAGTTGGAATATTTGGCGAGGGTGCCAACAAACAGATTGATCTGTATGGTAATGAGGGTACCAGCTGCACCGTCCAAGGTGATGATCGGGTCCGTATGTATTCCCCAGAACTTCTCCGAAGTTGTTGAAATATCATCGACCGTCAGATCTTGAAAAAAAGATGTGAGTGTACACTGAATTCAAGCGCCACAGTTCGCACTGTATGCTTGGGCGATGGCCCGTGCCCGCGCATATGACCTGCG